AATGGCAGCTGCTATTTGTTACTTCAGCGTTGAGCCCCAGTTTCTTGAGCTTACATAGCCTCTACAGCCCCTAGGCGTTAAATCCACAGACTTCTGGGAGGGGGAGGGATGAGGAGAGATGCAGGAGGGAAGGCATGCGGCAGCCAGCCCTGGATGGTGTCCAGCCAGGCCGCAACCCAGGTACCAGCCTGCTCCATCCCAGGCTTGCCCAGCCCTGGGGAGGTGTGAGCCAGACTCTGCCCCCTCCCGCCCCTGTGGGTCTCCACAGGGAGAAAAGGTTACTAGCCAGAGGGAGAACCTGGTTCAGGATCCCTGAGTCCCGGGGGTGTCTGTCAGACCAGCAGCCCTCACTTTAGTTTATATCTCCCTCCTGGCTCCCACCCTACCAGACTCCAGAGAAAGCTCTTCCCGCTGAGAAATAGGAAGGCAGAGATCAAGGGCTAGAAATGGTGAGCGACGTTTTTTGGAAATGGAGGCGTGCACATTCCCCACTGCCTGCACAGACCTGGAGGGCTGTGGGGGTGGAAGGGGGTCCCATAGGGTAAAGTGAGATGACATCAGGGCCACTGGGCAGGGGGCCAGTGGCAGCCAAGCCCATGACACCTCACCTAGGGTGGGGAGAAGACACCTTCTGCCTAGAGGTGTGGACACTGGCTCGGAGCCCCTCAGCACTTCCCACTGCCCCAGGCTGCCCGTCACACAGCACCCTAGGCAAGGCCAGCTGTCTCCATCCTGGCTTCCTTGAAGAGCCAGCACCAGGCCCAGCCCTGTCTCCAGAATCTGTGGAACAAACTGAGCTGCCTCCCACAGCAGCCATGGCTCTTACCCCCAACATAGGCCTGCCACACACATCCCAGCCCCCAAGAATAGCCGGGACTCCTTCCTGCTCCCACCATCCTGCGTCCTTCCATCCTCTTGTTGGGGCTGATATTCCTGTATTGGGCAGCAGGGCACTGGTCTTATTTGCATAAACAGGAGTCCTGGGCTGGAGGAGGGGCAGTCTTGAGAGGTGGGGTTACCTCTGTTGTTCCCCTGGACACCCTGGGGGTCTTCCTATTTCTCCAGCCCATTTCCTCCGGGGGCCCTAGCTGGCTGGCTTGAAGGAAGCAGGCTGGCTGTTTCTGTAGGGCCCATCACCATGGCATCAGCCAGGGAGGGGCTGGGCCTCCTGGGGTGTTGGCCCCCAGGCGCCCGAAGCTCTCCCCGAAGGGAGGAAGGAGGAGCAGGGAGCGGGCCTGGGCCTGCTCCCCAGAGACGGTCACTGGGATTAGGGTATCATCTTTCCCCAGCTTTCCAGGTGGCTGCTGGTGGCGCCTATTGAATTCCGTGCCCGCCATCCGCTCCCTGGGCTGCGTGGGTGGAGGTGATGGGGCGGCCACTTGGGGTGGGGCTAGTGTCCCTGGGGGAGGACAGCTGAAGGGAGGCAGCCTGAGGGTGGAGGAGGCCCCAGGAGAAGCGTGTGGGGGCAGCTCTCCTGGCAGGGTCTTTTCTGGAAAGCCAGTCAACATTGTGTGAAGGTGAGAGTCCCCAGCCTGTCTAGCCCTGGGCCACCCCAGCCCAGCTGTGCTGCCCACAGGCTGCTATGGCCTCATGTTCCCTCCTGTCGATTCTGGCTCTCTGCCAGTCTCCTCCCTGAGCAGATCCTGATTTTGTCTTGAGCTTGGGTCTCCCGGGCTGTCGTCACTGGAGGTCCCACTTGCCCTCTGGAACTCACTGGAGCTGTGTTCTTTTTGAGTCTCCTCCTCCCAACATGCTCTGGGCTCCCCTATAGCTGGCTTCTCCTGAGCTCCTGGGGGCCACACACCAAGCTCAGTATGCCTGAACATCATTCCCATTTGCCCCCTTTCCCCAGAGGCAGAACCCAACCCTGCCCCAGCTTCCTGGGGTAAGGGTCCAGGAGCAATGGTGGCTGAGCTGACCCAGGTGCCCGCCCCTCCCCATCGTCTCCTCCCAGTGCTGGGCCTGGACAGGCCAGGCCCCACAGATCCCCAGGGGGCCTGCCCCAAGGGACTCCTCCTGCCAGTCCCAGCCTCCACCCAGGCTGGGATGGGCTGGCTTGATGGGCTGACTCAGCAGCTGGCACTGACGCCTCCTGGAGACAGCTGGGAGGCTCCTGCTAGAGGAGGGGTGAGGAGGAACAAGTCTGGTCTCCCTGGGAGAGTGGGAACCCCCCTCCCCATTCGAGGGGAGGGAGTCTCTAGGGACTTGGGCAGGAGGCTCTGCAGGTACACTGGAGCTGTCTAAATGCTGTCGGGGCCTACCTGGGGCTTCCCATCTCCTTGTCCAGCCACCCTCAGGTCCTGGAGCCACCACAGAGCTGCATCTAGACAGCAGTGGAGCAGGCCCCAGTGCAGGGGAAGGGAACAGAGGGCACCTGAACCCCTCAGGCCGGGTCCACTGTTTCCACTTGAACTGCACGACTTGGAGCTTTGGCACCATATGTCACCATGGGAGGTATACTGGGATGAGGGTCAGTAAGGGAAGCCCACAGCACAGAGACCAGGGCCAGGGCATTCCAAAGGCAGCCAGCACAGCCCTGCCCTGCCACCCAGGAGGGGGGGTACAGGGGTGGGTGCCCGGAGCCACCTGTCCCCAGCCCAGCCATGCCCCTGCCCCGTCACCCACGCTAGGCTTCATCCCCCAGCTCACGCTGTAGTTGCAGCTTTGAGAAGCCCTGAGCACCCGGAAAGAAGGCTGTGGTTTCTTCAGCTCCCAGCCCGCCTCCAGCAGAGGCTGCAGCCGATGCCCTGGAGAGAGTCCCTGTCTGCCCTCCACTGCCCGACTCCTGGTGGCACCTCACCTCCCAGTGGGTTGCCCCATACTGGACTTGGATCCTTAAGGAGCACCCTGCAGTGTGGTGGAAGGAGGACAGGCCCTAAGTCAGAGACCAGAGTTGGAGTCCTGGCTGTGTGATGTCAGGCAGTGGGCTTAATATCTCTGAGCCTCAGTTTCCCCATCTCAAGAACAGCTGGCAAGCCCCAGCCACGTTGCTATGGGAAGGTTTTAGGGAGCATGGGGACTGTGGAGGGAGGTTGGAGGAGGTCACTGGAGCTGTCCCCTGCCTGTCCTGAGATTTCACCCCCCCACACTTTCTCAGGGTGTCAGGCCAGGTCCTGCAGCTCGGTCTGGCTAAGGCAAAAAGCTGCGCCTGTCCTGGTGACGGCAACTGGTCAGACCTGTTTCTGCTCAACTAGGCGGCCCGGGGGAGGGCCTGGCTCTGGCTTGGAGCTTTGTGGAGGGATTAGCTCTAGGGGAGAAGAACCTCACTTACTCCCGGAACAAGATCCCCGTAGGGCTGTGGGAGTGCCAGGGGTGAGCCTGGAGCAGGTGACAATGGAACAAGCTGGAAGTGGGCCTTGCAGTGAGGCAGAGGATGGGCCTGGGGAGAACAGGGCAAGAGAAGGCTTCATTCAGCCTGACTTGAGGGTTCCTGTGCCTCTGTAAGCTGCTCACTTTTTTACCACTCACTTAACTGCCTTTGTTGTTGGGGTGAGGGGCCCTGGAGCCTGGATTTGGGTATGAAATATAAGCAAGAAAGACCTGCCCAAGCTCTTAAAGGAAGGCAAAGTCACCCTTTAATCACTCCCAGAGACGGAAAGGCTAGGGATTGAGTCTCCCGCAGATGGTGGCAGCCTCCTGGGGCTGGCAAGTTGGGGCAGAGGCCCATAAGCCCTCCCGTGCGTGCCTTCTAACCTCTCCACTCCCAGCTGGGGATTTGGGTTTCAGAGCAGCCTGGCACACACGCCCCCACCCCACCAGAATCTCACTCCCAGCTTCCTGTGACTATTCATTAGTATTCACAACAATGGAAAAGTCTGGGTATGCACAGAGAGTTTTTACAGTTAGAAAAGGTTTCAGTCAGTTACCTCACTGGGCCTCAGAGCACCCTGGGAGGCAGATGACAGTCAGAATGATCCAGAAATGACTTGCCCCAGGTCACACAGCTCCTAAGCAGGGGAGCCGGAACCTGGCTCCGGGTCTTGACTATCCACTGTTCATTGCCTGATGTGCTGAGTGATAACCCAGGGCCAACAGGCTGGACAGCCGTCAGTGGCCCTGCACCAGGCCTGGAGGAGGGGGAGAGGGACAGGGACTCGGGCATAGCATAGTCCTTGGGCACAGGCTTCGGCCAAACTGTGTTTAGCTGAGTCTGAGTGCTCAAAAGAAATCCACATGAGCCCTTTTAGTAGGTCCCACCCTCCAGGCCACAGCCACCCCGGGCTCCCGTTAGTCCAGCCCTGCTCTTCTCGGTCCCCTCCCCATTCAGGCTCCTCCATCTCTGGGGTCTCTATGCTTCCATTGCCACCTCTGCCCCCCGGGTGGTGTGGGGGGGTGGGTCCTGGAACACCTGAGGATGGCCTCCTGTCTTATTCATGTCCCCTTGCTGTGCCACACAACAGGATTTTGATTATCTGCCCCTTTTGGCTCCCTTTTGGCTTGGTGGGGGTGAGACAGAGTTCGTGTCTATGGGAAAAGGCTTTACTGTAAACACACTGGCCAGCTTTCAGTAAACACCTGCCTCTTCCCTGCTGCAGAGAATGGGGTACAAAGGGGCTGGGGTCCTCAGTTACATGCCCCAGCTACCCAGCCAGGCTAACAGGGGTGCCACACTCTGCCTCCTCTCCAGGAGGGCCAGACTGAGCCACCAGTGGGGAGGGATAAGGGCTTGATCAACACAGCACGTGATTCACCTTAGACTGTCAGAGGGGCAGGCATGTGAGAGCTAACCTGGTCCCAGCCCTCATTTGCCAAAAGAGGAAATTGAGGCTTGGACAAAGCAGTGTTTTACCCATGTCACCTAAGCAGTTTGCTGCAGTGCTGGGTGTCCATACAGGTCTTGAGTCCTGGGCCAGAACCCTCGCAGATTGCTTTGTAAGATCTAAGCACATTTGCATCCTTGCAAGCCCTCCTTGGTGGGGGAGATGGGGTCAGGCAGAGGACAGGGAAGGCAGAACCGGGGGCATCGTGGAATAGCCATGGACCCTCCCCTGTCCCCACAGCACGAGCTTCGGCCTCGGCTCTGTACCATGAAGAAGGGCCCCAACGGCTATGGCTTCAACCTGCACAGCGACAAGTCCAAGCCAGGCCAGTTCATCCGGTCAGTGGACCCAGACTCCCCAGCTGAAGCTTCAGGGCTCCGGGCCCAGGACCGCATTGTGGAGGTGATGCTTCTCGCCCTCTTCCTATCTGACTGCCCCCGCCCCCTGCAGAGCAGCAGCTCTCGGGGTGGCGGGGGCGGTGGTGGGGGGGACAGCCATCGTATCATCATTAGCCCACGGGCACAGCCAACCTGGAGCTGCTGGGTGGATGGGTGGATGGGTGGATGAGAGGGAAGGTAGGGTGGTAGATAGATGGATGGACGGACAGACAGATGGACTGATTGACTCGTTTCTTACCCTCACTCTCCCCTGGGCTCCTCCTTGCCAAGCAGACACACTCGGCACCTATGATTCACCCATTAGTCAGGGAGATGTCTAGGGCCACCTCCAGAGCTTCCCTGCTGCCAGACACACAGATGGGGGTAGCAGTAACAAAACCCCACTCCCGAGTTAGGCTTTTATTTTTGTAGTTATATATCTACTTTTTAATTTTTTTAAGATGGAGTCTCACTCTGTTGTCCAGGCTGGAGTGCAATGGCGCTATCTCAGCTCACTGTCATCTCCCACCTGGGTTCAAGTGATTCTCCTGCCTCAGCCTCCTGTATAGATGAGATTACAGGTGCCCACCACCACACCCAGCTAATTTTTGCTTTTTTTTTTTTTTTTTTTTTGAGACGAATTCTCGCTCTTGTTGGCCAGGCTGTGGAGTGCGGTGGTGCAACCTGGGATCACTGCCACCTCTGCCTCCCGGGTTCAAGCAGTTCTCCTGTCTGAGCCTCCCGAGTAGCTAGGATTGATTACAGGCATACGCCACCACGCCTGGCTAATTTTTTGTATTTTTAGTAGAGACAGGGTTTCTCCATGTTGGTCAGGCTGATCTCAAACTCCTGACCTCAGGTGATCCACCCACCTCAGCCTCCCAAAGTGCTGGGCTTACAGGCGAGAGGCACCGTGCCCAGCCCCGAGTTAGGCTTTTAGACTCTTAAACTCATTCAGTGCACTGGCGCTGTGCTCCTGGGAGAGGAAATGTGAACCAAATGCTCAGGCAGGTCCCAGAATCACAGTCTTAGAACCTTAGAGCTGGAGATCAGCTCTCCCAAGACTTCTCATTTTACACGTGAGAAAACCAACGCCCAGAGAGGGAAGTCGGACAGCAAGTCCTTACCCAGGCTGCCCCACCCGGCCTCCCAGCTCACTCCCATCCCATCTCTCCCAGCTGTGTTTGTTTAGTCTCGTCCGGATATTTTCGTTGGCCTTTCCCATGTGTCCTGCCTCTTGGCAAATGGGAGGACCCCTGGCCTAGTCCAGGACTCTGCAGACTTAGTGGGAGTCGGTATTCCCAGGTTGTGAACTGCAAACTGGTTGAGAACCAAGGTGCCTCTCCGACCCTACCCAGCCCTCCTCCACCTACCTGGCCCAGAACCAAGGCTCATACCCGTAACACCTCCCCGACCCCACCCTGCAGGTGAACGGGGTCTGCATGGAGGGGAAGCAGCACGGGGACGTGGTGTCCGCCATCAGGGCTGGCGGGGACGAGACCAAGCTGCTGGTGGTGGACAGGGAAACCGATGAGTTCTTCAAGAAATGCAAAGTGACTCCATCTCAGGAGCACCTGAATGGTAAGCTGGGTGGGGATGCTGGCTAGAGGGCCCCAAGTCATAGATGTGAGCCAGGGCTAAGACTTTGCTGGGTCCCATGTGAGGGGTGGGCAGCTTCCGGGTATGGGTGCTCCCTCCCTCTCCTTCAGGGGAGACCTAGAGGTATGGGCTGGGGGAGCGTGGGCCTAGTATAGGGAGTGGCAGTGGGTTTCTGAGGATGGCTTGTGATAGGGTCAGCTGGCAGGAGGACAGTCAGAGGGACGACAGAGCTGATTCCCAGCCAAAGCTGCAGCCCCAAAGGGAGGCCTGAGCCCCCAATTCTGCCTCCACCAGTAAACTTTCAGAGCAGTGTCGAAAGGGTTAACTCCGGGGAGGCCTCCAGCCTTTGCTTGGTCAGATCAGAGTCCAGTGACAGGGGCCCAGTGCCTCCCCCTCCCTCTTCTCAGGTTGTCTTGGAAACTCAGCCTTGCTGGCTCTAGAGAGTAGTGGGTCCCCCTTCAGCCCCTGGGCCCCTGTACTCCCCATCCCCCATCACCCTGCCAGGCCTGGCGCCTCCCCCTGCCCAGGCCAGAGCCAAACAGGGCAGGGCGTCTGTACCAGGGCAGGGAGGGGTTAAGCAGTGCTCTGCTCCCTGGTCTGGACTTGTACCCTGGGAAGATGGCTCCCTGGAGGGGGCAGGGGGTGTTCACTGGGCCATACTGAGGGTGGAACCTCTTGGGACTTTGCAGTGGGCAGGGCCTCCCGGAGACTCAAGATTGTCTGTGTAGAAGGGCGTTCACACAAAGGCCCCGCTGCAGACTCCGATCCCCGGCTGGAAAAGTCCACTGGGGAGGCCCTGTCCCCTGCCCCCTAATCTAAGGCCTGGAGGCTCCTAGACTAAGAGAGGATGGCCCCTGGAAGTCCCTAGCTGGCTCTGGGCATGGGACATGGGGCACTGCCTTGCCCTTGTCTCCCAGGTTTATGGAAACTCAGATAATCTCCTTCTCCAGTGAAGGGGAGACTAGGGCCCAGAGAAGCCCCAGCCTTGCTTCTAGGGATCTGGTACGAGGAAGATACAGCTGAAATCTGGATTCCACTCAGCTCCTGAGATACTGTCCCCTGCTTCCTCCAGCACCCTTTCCCCACGCCTTCACCCCGCAGGCAGTTAGCCCCTCAGACATTCCTCCTTCTCTGCCTGCCTCTGGCTGGAGGGGCTGCAGCCTCTGGCCAAAGGACCTGAAGAGGGAGAGGCCTGGGAGTGGTCTCCTCTCCAGTGTCCCTCCAGGATGGCATCCTCACTCTCTCCATAGGGAGGAATGCACCCCTCCGGCTGCCAGGGTTTCACCCTGACCACTGTGAGCTGATAGGGAGGGGACAGTAAGCATCCCTGTGTCCCAGCAGCTGTCCTTGCCCCAGAAAGGCTGTGGGCGTCAAAAGGGAGGAGAAGAGAGTCAGGTATCTCTGGCTGTGTCCTGGACCAGGGGACAAGGGAAAAGATGACCATGAATTTTAAGCCAAGAGTTCAGAAGCAGCCCACCTAGGCTGACCAGTCCCTGGAGATGGAACAGCCACCCCTGAAGCCATGTGGGACCCCTACCCTGAGTGAGCCCAGTGAAGGTGACTCCAGACCTGTTTCCTTCTGACCCCTCCAGGTTTCCCACTGGCTGGGGGAGGGGACACCCAGCACACACCCCTTGAGCCTTCACCTCCCCCTTCATTTCCTGATTGGCTAACAAGAGTTGGGATTTAATTTTCTTTTCACTTTTTTTTTTTTTTTTTGAGACAGAGTCTCACTCTGTTGCCCAGGCTAGAGTGCAATGGCTCCATCTCAGCTCACTGCCTCCCAGGTTCGAGCAATTCTCCTGCCTCAACCTCCCGAGTAGCTGGGATTACAGGTGTGTGCTACCATGCCCAGCTAGCTTTTTGTATTTTAGTAGAAACTGGTTTCACCATGTTGACCAGGCTGATCTTGAACTCCTGACCTCAGGTGATCCACCCACCTCAGCCTCTCAAAGTGCTGGGATTACAAGCATGAGCTGCCAAACCCGGCCTGGAATCTGTACTTTTAACAAGCTTCCTCGGTGGGAATTAGGCAGCCATCCTGGAATTTCATCCCCATCCGGGACAATTCATTTTTTAAACACCTTGTGACCCATCAGTGCCTCATAAGGTCAATTTAGTAGATAGAGACCAGCATTTTTTTTTTTTTTTTTTTTTTTTTTTTTGCCTGAGTCTTGCTGTGCTGTCTAGGCTGCAATGCAGTGGTGCAGTCTCGGCTCACTACAACCTCCGCCTCCCAGGTTCAAACAATTCTCCCCCCTCAGCCTCCTAAGTAGCTGGGACTACAGGTGCATGCCACCACACCTGGCAAATTTTTTGTATTTGTATTTTTAGTAGAGACAGGGTTTCACTGTGTTGGCCAGGCTGGTCTCAAAGTCCTGACCTCATGTGATCCACCTGCCTCAGCCTCCCAAAGTGCTGGGATTACAGGTGTGAGCCACTGCGTCTGGCCCAGAATTTTTTTTTTTTTATAAAATGAAATTAAAAATAACAAAGAGCACTGTAGTAAGGGTATTGTTTTGTGAAACTTTTGTTACACAAAATCTTTGTGTGTGCTGAGTCTTCAAAATGGCAAACATAGGCCAGACATTAGCTCACACCTGTAATCTCGGCACTTTGGGAGGCCAAGGTGGGAGGACTGCTTGAAGCCAGGCATTTGAGACCAGCCTATACAACATAGTAAGGCCTCATCACTACCAAAACAATTTTTAATAAATAATAAGGCAAATGTACTCATAGTGGGTTGTAGTCAAAAAAATTTGAGATGTTGGCCAGGCGCGGTGGCTCACACCTATAATCCCAGCACTTTGGGAGGCCGAGACGGGTGGATCACGAGGTCAAGAGATCGAGACCATCCTGGTCAACATGGTGAAACCCCGTCTCTACTAAAAATACAAAAATTAGCTGGGCATGGTGGCGCGTGCCTGTAATCCCAGCTACTCAGGAGGCTGAGGCAGGAGAATTGCCTGAACCCAGGAGGCAGAGGTTGCGGTGAGCCGAGATCACGCCATTGCACTCCAGCCTGGGTAACAAGAGCGAAACTCCGTCTCAAAAAAATAAAATTAAGATGTTGACCTAAATGACAAGAAGTAATTATCTGCCCAAACCCAACTCCCGCCTCCTCCACGCTCCATCCCATCCCCGTTCTGGACTTACCTCTGCTCTGTCCTTCACCTAGGTCCCCTGCCTGAGCCCTTCACCAATGGGGAGATACAGAAGGTAAGGGTGGGTCCTGTTTCTCTGGATCTCAATTCTGGGGGTGCAGGAGAGGGGTCAGAAGGTGCTGTGGTTGGCAGGATAGCCATCTGCCTAAGGCTGAAACCTCAGGATTCCCAGTACCAGCTCCTTCCTCAGCTCCAAGCTACAGAACTGCCAGAACCCTCTTGGCCTCTGCCTGGAGCCAAAGCTGTCGGGAGGGAGACGGCTGGCTGGGCCCCTCTGCAGCCCGCCATCCTGGGTGACAAGCCCCCGCCTCCAACTCCCCACCATACAGAAGGGGCCATTCTTCCCCCCAAGAACAGAGCTTCAGTGTCTGGCCGCGGGCAGCCGGGCCCCTGCTACTTCCAGTCTGGGTTGGAAGAACAAAGCCCCATCCTCCCCCCTTCCCTGGGTAGAAGGGAAGGGGGTGAGGCTGGGGAAGAGATGGTGGGGCTGGACGCCAGCTGAAGCCATGGAAGAACCCAGGAAGGGGCTGGGTGCCAAGCTGACGCCCCAGCCAAAGCCTGCACTCTGGAACAGGACAGCTCAGAGTCAGACCACAGAGCAGGAACTCGCTTCAGGGTCTGCTCAAAGGTTCCCCTCCTGCCAGGGTACTTTGCAAGGGGCAGGGTCCTTGGACCCAGGTCTAAACCTTCTGTCACCTCATCTTCAGATCTAGAACTTTCCATCCACCTTCTTCCTTCAGAGCCCGTCTTTGCTGCTTAAGGTTAGGGTTTCAGGATTCCTGGGGTCAAATCCAGGGGACCAGTCAGGTGGACCACAGGAGATTCAGGGAGCACCACATGGGCTCCCCATGCCAAGCAATGAGGCCCCCAGTGTCCCCACATTCCAAGAAGCCCCTCCCTGGTCGTTGGCCCAAAAGGCAAGTCAGTACCTAAAGGCCACTTTGGAGAGGGCCAGGGAGAGAGCAGTTCAGCCAGTCCCATGATGGTCTGCATCCCTCCAGCCTATGGAGAACCAGGCTGCCCTGTGATCCTCGAAGGAATGTGAGGAGCCCCAGCAGGCTCAGGCAGTGGGAATCGGGGGTGGGGCCAGGGCGTCAGCGCTGCCTCTTCTCAGACTGAGGCCCCTACTTCCCCAGGAGCTCCCTCCCTCCTCAGGACCCCCTCACCCCACCCTCTGGCAACCCACACCCCTCTCCTCTCTGCCAGGAGAACAGTCGTGAAGCCCTGGCAGAGGCAGCCTCAGAGAGCCCCAGGCCAGCCCTGGTGAGAACCGCCTCCAGTGACACCAGCGAGGAGGTAGGCCAGCCATGTGGGGGGTGGCAACTGGGTTACAGGAAGCCGATTCCCAGGCCCCACTTGTTCCTGGCACACCAGCCTGCCTTTGAAGTCACATGCTGAGCCGCATTCTGTTCTTGTGACCTGGCTTCCCTGGGCACTGCCCCAAGGGAGCCACCTCACTGAGGCTGAGGACCAGGGAGCCTAATGAGGTACTGACTTCCAACTTCCTGCCCCCCCCTACAGCTGAATTCCCAAGACAGCCCCCCAAAACAGGATTCCACAGTGCCCTCATCTACCTCCTCCTCTGACCCCATCCTGGATTTCAACATCTCCCTGGCCGTGGCCAAAGAGAGGGCCCACCAGAAGCGCAGCAGCAAACGGGCCCCACAGATGGACTGGAGCAAGAAAAATGAACTCTTCAGCAACCTCTGAGCGCCCGATGCCAGCCACCCAGTGACTGGCAGGGCCGAGCCAGCCTTCCACCCCGCCCTTTTCCTTCTCCCCAGTTATTCCCGAATCGACATACAAATCAGCATCCACATCCCCTTTCTTGACAAATGATTTTTCTAGAGAACTATGTTCTTCCCTTACCTTAGGGAAGGTGAATGTGTTCCTGCCCTCCCCCAGTCAGAAAGCAGACTCTGCCTCCCTCCTCCTCACTGAGTGCCTCATCCTACCAGGTGTCCCTTTGCCACCCAGCCTGGGACATCACTGGGACCTACACAAAGCCAGGATCATGGGACCAGATGAAAGGGCCCCTTCCCTTCCCCCCCCATGTGATAACTGGGTTCAGGGCTGATCAAAGAACTCTGACTGCAGCAACTGCAGCTCGCAGCAGACAGGGCATCCATTATCCTGAGAGCTGTGGCTGATGTATCTGTTTTCATTTGATTTTTGTTGTTGAAAGAGTGCAGTATGTTTGCAGAGTCTAGAGTTTTTATTTCCTTGATTAACGATTTTCCTGGTTGTTGCATCCAGGGCATGGCCATGGCCTCAGCCTTAAACTTTTGTTCCTACTCCCACCCTCAGAGAACTGGGTGGTAGGGGGGAGGGTTTGGCTACCCCTGCCCATCCCTGAGCCAGGTACCACCATTGTAAGGAAACTTTCAGAAATTCAGCTGGTTCCTCCAAACCCTCCAGCCTCCGTGTCTTCCTTGGGAGTTTTGTCCTCTGGCCTTGGACCCCTTATAGGTAGAAAGCAAGAAATGGCAAGCCAGGGTGTTCCTGGGGGGGGGGGGGTCTTTGGCTTGGAGGGTGGGGTACACTGAAGGGAGGGCCATCTAGTGCTCCCTGTGACTCCAAGCCTGAGTAGCTTTAGCTAGAGGGCCTAGCAGTGCAGAAGTCCTGTGGGAAGGAGGATGCACCCAGCCAGGTGTTTGGCTTGGTAGTTAGTGTGCCTGCATGCCAGGCTGCAAGCTCCAGTGCAGGCTAAGGACCCCCTAATGGCAACATTTACCAGGGAAAGTGGGAACTCAGACCAACATGCCCAGAGGCCTCTAGGAAGTTCCTGTAATTGTAGGAGCGAGGAAAGTGAGTTCCAGAATGGATCTGGGCTTGGAATGTGAGGACCTGGCTTTACTCTGCTTACAGCCAGTGGGGTGCAGGATTCCCAGGGGCAGGCTGGGCTGGTACCAGATGCTCTATCTTATCTGGCCACTGTGAACTGATTGGAGGGCAAGTGTCCAGTGCCAGGGGAAAACCGGTCCACTGAGCCCCGGGATATGCCATGTGGCTAGGTGACACGGAAGGGACTTTTCAAGGGCGAAATGCCCTGCCCTCAACAAGAGACCCAGGTCCCTTATACCTCTAGCACCTGAAGCCAGATCTGGAAGTTGAGAAAGTGATCGCCAAGAGCTGAGGCTGCAGGGCGGAGATTCTGGGCAGGTGCTCACAATGAAGGTGGCCCCAGGCTAGTTTCCACCCAACCCACAGGGACACTTCTCAGAAAACAGGCTCCTGAGCTAAGGGGAATGAGGAGGAGGATTCCCCACTATCTGGCCATCTCCTTGTCAGAGGAACCATCCAAAACCCTTATCACAGCAGCACCCTGCTCAGCTGACCTGACCCTACCCCACCCTTGCTTCTACCCTTTGACCCCTATCGAACCTTTGACTCTTCAAGAACCTGACGACCGCTGGAAGGGTTGGGTGGCCCCGAGAGAACTCCCATTGCTGAGGTGCAGGCATTACAAAGAGAGCCACAGCAAGCAACGTGTTCATTTTGTATGGAGGCATGTTTTCAGCTTCAGTTTTTCACATGCAGACTGGTGTGAGACTCCAGGATGAAGGGGGTTGGGAGCCCTTGGGCAGGTCACCCTATTTATCTGAGACTGTTTCCCCACCTCGGAAATGCCCTGCAAGCCTCCTTCTGTGGCTGTGCTTTGAAAGTATGATCGGCCTTTCTTGACAGCCACCCCAGATGATGGCAGGGCATGGAAGACTGTTAGGAGTCAGAGTGCCCCCCTCAGGGCGGGGAGACTGGCCCAGCTCTACTTTGTAAGCCACAGGTCCCAGGTAGCCTAGCCACCCTGCACCTGTGCCTCCGCTGCCCCCACGTGGCCTGATCAGGTGCAGCTGCTCCCAGAGGCAGAGCGTGAAGAGCAGACCTGGGAATGCCAGAGAGACAGAGCTGACAGCCTGACGCTCTCTTCAGGAGGGCACCCCAGAGGGACCTCTGCTTCCTCAGCGACCCTGAGCTTCATCAACAGAGGAGTGTTCTCCAGCCACAAGGAGGTGTATCCAAACTAATGCCTCTAAACTTAAGACTGGCTCAGGAGGAGGAGGAGAAGGAGAAGGAGGAGGAGGAGGAGGAGGAGGGATGCTAGGTTGAGGGGCCAGGCCACTCTCTCTGGACCACCTGTTGTTCCCAGGTGGGTCACACCAGCCTGCTTCTGCAGGACAAGAGGGCCGAGCTGCACTTGACCGGACACTGTGAGGCTGGGCCTCCTGGTAGCTCTTCACACGAACCAAATGGGAAAACAAGGAAGGAAAGCTGGCCGTGCCTGGAGCTTCACTCCCTGTCAGGGCAGTACCTCTGGCCTCTAAGGGGAAAGGCCTGTCCACTCCAATCCATGCTCCAGGCCCCCTGCACCTCCAGCTCCCACCTTCATCCCTGACATGTCCTGTGGATTCCTGCCCTCCATTCCAGTCTCCTGGAGTCTTGGGTTTGGCCAGGAGGGGAGAAGGGGACTGGCCCTGGTGTCTGCTCTGCTCGGCCACACCACCAGCTGGAGGGAGGCCACAGGGTGATTCCAAAGGATGATTCCCAGCGTGGGGCTGGGCCAGAAGCACTCTCCCAGTGCTGGGCTCTGGTCTTTGGAGGGTGTGGCCTCAACACCCTGCACACAAGGTTGGCTGCTCAGAGGGCCCAGCCATCAGCAGGGCTCTGCCGACCCATCTCTGTAGGGCTTCTCTTCCACATGGCTGGTCTGCTCCAGAAGCCAATGATGCTCGGACTCACTCATTGTCAGTCTGAGCGTTACCTCCTGGAAAACGCTGCTCACAGCCACCTACATGAGCCAGAGAGAACCAAGCCTGCTAAGAGTTACAGTTCTGTTCTTTAGGGAAAACTGAGGAAATAGGGTAAAAACATTGAAAAAAAAAAGTTTAAAAATAAATGAGTTACAGTTCTAACACCTCCAGCCCCACCACCCAATCTAGGCCTCACTCTGCCCAACAACATCCTTACCTGCTCAAAGTGAAGTTTCTGGAACATTCGGATGCTTGGTTCATTTCCTTGCCCAATTTTAGCCTCAAACTTGGTCAGATCTAGTCTGGTCACTCCTCATAGAGGAGATGAGAGAGGGGCAAGTAAGGAGGTACCTACCCCCACCCACCCTGTCCCAAGCTGCAGAGGAGGAAGCTGTCACCTGCCCCCACCCTCAGACCTGAACAAGGTTCACCCAGGGCCTGGCCACGTCCCACATTGTCTGCCCACACTTTCTTACCATAAGACAGCATCATGAGAACAGCCTCAGTGCCAAGGCCCTTACCCCTGCAGCTGGGCTCTAGGAGAAACAACAGGAACAGCACCGATGCCCTGTGCCAGGCTCCGGTGTGTGCGCTTGACAGATACCAACCATCTCATTTAATTCTCAACAACTCCGAAGTTGCTACTATCATCACCATTCTGCAGATGAGGAAACAGGCACAGAGAAGTGCAACTCGGCCCAGGCCTCACAGCTTACAACCCAGCAACCTGACCTCAAAGCTGACCCCCTCGACCTGATGGAGACAGCTCACGGGCATAGTCAGGAGCCACCTGGGGGAAACTGAGGACTAAGAAGGAACAGAAACAGGAGGGGCTTCTCCTGTAATATAACAAGATGTTCCAGAGAAGACCATTTATTTTCAGAGGGTGCCCAGCCTACCCCAAGTATGGCACTCCCTATCCTTGAACTACCCCAAACCAAAGGTTAAGTTCACACCTAAGCATAAGGAGAACAGTGACAAGCCCGGGGGTGTACCACCAGGCTGAGCGGGGCTAGTAGGGGTAGGCTGCCCAGCCAGGCCCTGGGCTAACCAACATGAAGCCTCCCAGTGAGCCCCGTGAGTGCCCACCCTATGTGGCCTCGGCAGGCTCGGGGTCAGCAGATCTGAGAGCCAGGCAGGGCTAGGTGAAACAAACCTGCAATCATGACCTCGATCTCCCCCAAGGTGGGGTCTTCTAGATTTGTGAGGAAGAGGTTCACATCTCCCACCATGCAGCTCTCTTCAGTGGCGCCTGGCTGGGCCTGCCACTTCTCGGCATCCAGCACAATGAAGGTACACTCTGAGGAGAAGGCAACAGAGTTACCGCACACACACTCCAGAGGAGAGAGAGGAGAGGAGAGGGTTCCCAGCTAACCCAGAGCCGTGTACAACACCAGCATCTCTTAAGTCTGCCAGGAGAAGAGGGGGTCCCAGAGCTTGCTTCAGCTCATTACAAAACTTCAAATTTGCCTCACAGAAAAAGACAGCCTCTCCAACCAGCAACCAAATTCTCAGAGAGCAGGGAACACACAGGAGGACAGTCACCGCACTAAGCTGTGGCAAGGGATGTGAGGGGCAGGGCCTAAATTTACAGGCAAAGCCCCAAATGTTCTACTTGAAATCCTTCCAAGCCTGATGCAACAGGTGGGGAAGAGGACAGAAGGGTGAGCTACAGGGAATTGCTTCAGGGGGCATGAGAATCCCAGAGTTCCAGCACTTTCTAGGCTTTTCACGAAGCTTCTGTGGCTGGGGCTGAGTAAGAAAAGGAATCTGGAGATTCCACTACCTGTGGAATCGCCCTGCCAGAACCAGGGCTGGGGCAAACAGGAGGCACTCCTTACTATCTGCATCTTCCCGCCAGCTGCGCTGCATGGCATATTCCTGCTCCAGGCTCAGCGGCTCTGAGGCTGTCAAACGCTGCAGCTCCTCTGATTTCATCCACTCGTGGTACCTGCTGGGACAGCGGTGGCCTTAGACCTGCAGGACTCATTCAAAGGCATACGTCTCACGCATAATAATGTGAGGGTCCAGAACCACAGAGAGCTAACATAGGGCTCAAAGAAGACCCAAAAGGTTATGATTGCTCCTAAGGCGGGGGCCACAGGCACAAGACCCAGAAGCAAGCTAGTTTTACACAAGAACAGCAGTAGGAGTCAGTTCTATCTGTCCCACTTCCTATCCTGTCTTGGATCAGTGCGGAGGAGCAGTCTGAAACCAAACATTCTTCAAATTCCAGAAAGGGAAATATATGGCAAGCTGACCAAGGAAGGCGGCTGGACAGATCCCCACAAAGTTGGGGCACCAAGAACCGTCAAAAGGAAAACTACAAGTAGAGAATACCCATCTACAGCACCACTATCCCAATCTGCCAGACATGTGCCAACACCCGCCACAAGAATCCCATCATGACTCAGTCCTGACCTTTCAAATGGTAGATATCACAACTCATCAGCTCAGAGTTTAAGGACACGCTAACATTAAGTCTCCAAGAACTGAACATATTCACTGGCACCAGGGAAACATCACTAATTTACACTTGGGTGAGAAGATAATTTCTTTTTCTGACACATTTAGTTTACATAAAGTAATTCCTTGCTGAAAGGCCAAAGGAAAGCTGAGAGAATGAAAGGGAAAAAGAGGATGAGCAGCTTCTTCCAGAGAAGTCGCAGTCCCCAGCTTCCGCTTTTTTTTTTTTTTTTTTTTTTTTTTTTTTTTGCTTTTGTTCTGTCACCCAAGATGGAATACAGTGGTGCAAACAGAGCTCACTGCAGTCTATCTCCTGGGCTCAAGCAATCCTCCCATCTCAGCCTCCCTAGTGGCTGGGACTACAGCTGTGCACCACCACGCCTGGCTAATTTTTGTATTTTTTGCAGAGATGAGGTCTCACTAGGTCTCAAACTCCGGCGCTCAAGCGATCCTCCTGCCTCAAGCCTCCCAAAGTGTTGGGATTACAGGCATGAGCCACCGCACTAATTTTTTTTTCCCTCATATATAATTACTTCTCACAACAAATGTTTCTTCTCAGGGGAAATAGCCCTGAGATTGGGGCTAAAGAAGGCTCCTCGCTGCGCCTTACACAGCTCTGGGGCTGATACGCGCCCCATATCAAAAGGGAAATACCTGGGCACATGCTTTGAGGTGTAAGGTACAAGGACCACCTTCTTCCCCAGCAGCAAGGTGTTCTGATTCAACCTCATGGTAGCAGCCTGCATGCAGACAGGGAGAGCAAGGACTTCAGGACCCTGAATTTCCTCCCACTTTGGGTGGGAGCTCCGGCTCTCCTGCTGGGGCTAAGTTGACTTCCGCCCTTCTTTCCTTTCAGACACTTCAGAGAACTCGGACTGTAAAATTCTTGCAAGAAAGAGAACCAGGCTGGTTAATGATAATTAAACAATCCTTGATTCTCACCCCAAGGGACCAAGCCTGGGCTCCGTTTTTGCCGGTTCCTTGCGTCCGCTCCGCAGAATGTCGATTCCTAAAACCCAAACACCAAGTACCAAGACTTATCCCCAGAGCTCGCATTACTTGCGCCGTCCAGGAATTCCAACCGAGAATCAACTTTCAGCCCTGTCTGAAACCTGCTTCTAACTTCTCACCCAGGCGACCACCCGACTGGGCTCTGGCCACTCCCTCCTCCCCGCCCCCGACCACTTTAGGGCAAGGCGGGCTTAGTCTCAGGCCCTCGTCTTGGAGTGGCGTTCTAGGCCACTGTCCTCGACCCTCCAACCACGGGGACCCGGGCACTGCCAAGCTCACACCCACCCACCGCCAACGAAAGCGTCCACTGCAGAAGAGGTGATCCACTTCCTCCAACCAGCCACTCTCCCAGTCCCGGCTCCCGCATGCGCGTGGGAGCGCGCCCCGCCCACTTCCGCCATGTTGACGGCAGCCGCCAGGCCCCAATCCCGGTCCCGCCCCCGCGTGGTGCCCAATCAGCACGCGTGAAGGAGGTGGGCAGCGGGGCCGACGCATGCGCGCTGCGGGCGCTGGTGCGGGACAGCTGGCGCCGGCAGCAGCCGACCAGCGGGAGGCGGCGGCTTGGGAGTTGCCTGTGCTGTAGGTGTCGGTTCCGGCCGGGCGGGAGGGGACGAAACGGGATAGGTTGGAGCGGGGCGGTGCCAGACTCGGGACTTCTCCAGGAGGGAGGGAGAGGGAGAGACTGGGAGTGGGGTTCTTGAGAAGAGAGGGAGCTTTGAGGGTGGGGACCCTTAAGAAAGCAGGTGGAGGCAGGGAGTGGAGGCCTTAGGGCCAGGAGTGGGGTTGGAGGCGCAGCGTAGGAAAGCCTCAAGCTCCCTGCCCTAGGCAGAGGTAGCAGACAGTTCCTTGGGCTCCCCTTTGTGGTAGTGAGCTCCCGGTTCCTGGAATTAAATGGGTATAACCATCCCAGAGCCTGGAAAGGGGACTCTTGTGGTGGGTGAAACTTCGTGGCTTTAGAGGCGCCTTAAATCACTTGCACTCCGAGCAGCACTGAAAACATCCGTGCTGCGCACAGAGTAGTGCCCTGCACAGCAAGGGAAAAGTTAGAAGTCGTCGTCCAGATTGCTGTCATCCAGGGTGACTCCTCCCTCGGGGATGAGTTTTGTGGCAGATACTGAGGCCCTAAGTGCCTGTGATAAGAAGTGGTGGGGAAAGTCTGCAAGCCTCCTCCCACCCCTTTCTCAGTCCATCAGTTATGTGAAGTCTGCTCTTTTGTTTTAAGGAGCCGCAGCAGCCGCCGCCCCTGCACCTAAGGAACCTCTGCTGCCAGCCCTTCCTCACTTTTGGAAATGGCGGGTGAAATTACAGAGACCGGAGAACTCTACTCTTCCTACGTGAGTGTGACTTACAGAACTTTTTGCTCACTCAAGTACTCCTGGCTTCTAGAGAAGCACGCTGCTTCATGGGGACAGGACTAGTGAGTGCTTGCTGCTTGAGCAGTCTCTGGAGGAAGCAGGATAACGGAGTTCCATGAGGCAGCAGCTACACTGCTGCTGTGGTGGCTTAGAATGCAAGTCAGGTTTATTTTCTTTTTAAGGTGTTTGTCAGAGTTGGTCAAGCCAAACAAAATCGCCGTGCTGTTTATAATGCTAATTATAATAGCTAATCTCGGGCCGTGCTCTGTGGCTCACGCCTGTAATCCCAACACTTTGAGAGGCCATGGTGGGATCACCTGAGGTCAGGGGTTCAAGACCAGCCTGGCCAACATGGTAAAACCCCATCTCTACTGAAAATACAAAATTAGCCAGGCGTGGTGGCACGCGCCTGTGATCCCAGCCACTCGAAGGCTGAAGCAGGAAAAGGACTTGAACCCAGGAGACGCAGGTTGCAGTGAGCCGAGATCGCGCCATTGCACACCAGCCTGGGCAACGAGAGCGAAACGCGGTCTCAAAAACAAATAAATAAATAATGTTAATCTCAAGGCTACCACCACTTGCCTTGAGTGCTTCCCTTCAGATGAAGAGCGATTGACAACTGTTGACTATGGGTTTTGCTCATCTCAGCAGTTTGCAACCACTTTGGTCTTTACTGAATTTTAAATTGCACAACTTTTATAGTCTTGGATGGCGTAACAGGCAGTGAAGGCATGCAGAGACTTCTAATTACAGTTTGGTGGACTGTGCAATTAGAACAATTAGAATGATTGATTCTCACTGTGTTAGGTCTGCGTTACCTCTCACTGCCCCTCACACACACTCAGTTTATCTTCTCTATGTGACAGATGACTGGTCATGGTTATTACATCACAGGGCCCTCTTGCCTGGATAAGTAGCTGGAGGGTTGGAATAATCAGATGGTTGACTCAGGTTGCTACCAAGTTTCCCAGGCAAAAGCAGTACTGCATCTTCTTTCTAGAACTTGCCCTGCCTTGAACAAGCTGCCCTGCCTTGTACATAACTTCCTCGCCTGGGGATCCCTGTGCTGTTTCTGCTAGCTTCACAGACTAGTACTGTGGTATGATGGACAAGGAGGTGTCAAGACACTTCCTTCACAGCTAGAAGAAAGCCCTCCTGATTCCAGAGTCTTCCTGTTGGGCCTGTGCCATTCATGTGTGGCATTAAAGGAGACTCCTTCACCTCTGTAATTTCCAGGGGAATCTTCCATGAACCCTGGAATGGAATGAATGGTGTCTCTCCCATTTGTGGATTTAATGTAGCAGCTCCCAGCCTCTTGCTGTCAGCAATGAAATGTCCATGCTGTCTGTTAATAGAAAAGTCACCACAGTTCCTGCTTTTTCTTACAACATCTGTAAACTTAGAGATAAGGAAATGAGTCATCTCTGTAAGTTTTGTAAGAAAAACACTTTGACATGTCCCCATTTCTTGTGTCTACAGTTGTTCAAGGGGTCCTTTCACGTGTCAGCATGTGCCTACAGGAAATCGGGCAGTTAGGCCTGCAAGCTTCAGTGCTCTCTGCTCTTTTTTGTTCTCCATTTCTTGTGTGTTATATTTCTTTCAGGGTCTTTGTTGCCCAGAGGGCCAGCTCTGAGCATTGGCCATAAACAAGTGCTTGTGTTCCTTTATGCTACTGGTGAAGAGAGATGTAGGGAGGAGATGCGGGGTGGTACAGATGATGTGTCGTCACCCAGAGGGTAGTAGTCAGGGTTCTGAGGGGAGAAGACACCTCTTCCTAAGTGTTCCTCAACTCCCCTATCCTGGAACAGTTCTTGGTCCTCTGTAAGACCAGAAGAGTTTGTTGTCACTGAGCCCAGATAAGCTGTGGAACTAACTCACTGCTGATGCTGCTCCGAATTCCCCTGCAGGCCCCAGCTCAAGACAATGTGGGCAGAACTCTGCTCTGGCTGCCTTGGGAAACCAAGACACCAGGATGTAATTCATACATGCGCTTCAGCCCATGGTCATTGACAAGACAAAGCCTCTCCTTAGCTCTTTATTGCCCCATTCATTGTGAGTTCTTTTCCCCTCCAGGAATTCCAAGGATGTTTGCTTTAGCTTGAATTATTCTGCCTAAAAATATTTGTAACGAGCGGTGAGCCTCCTGGGTGGCTCAGATGTCACACCCTCCCAAGGATAGTGCTGAACACAGGAACGTGGTTCAGACGGGTACATGGACCCATAAGGGATCTCAGGACAGGCATGTGTGTTTGCCTGTTAGGACTGGGAGTGACACAGGACGGAAGTAGTTGTGTGATCAAAACACAGGATGCTGTAGGTTGCGCCTGACCGAAGGGTCAACACCGAGGGTGCCTCTGCCCGCTGGTTTCTGCTGAAGATTGTTGCGGTTGCCTTCGAAGGAGAGAGCGCTCGTTTGACACCCTGAAATCCTGTCATTGCTTCCACATCTTTGCTGCCTTCTGTTTCCTTTGACAACTGTCAGGGGAAGCCGTTGAAAAAAGATACTGGTGACGTCTGCCCCGTGAAGGTCACGGGTGAGGCTGCTGGGCGTAGATGAGGCAGGTGGGATGCTTCACTGAGCTCTCTAGAGCATAGGGGAGCGGGCCAGCAGGGACTGGGCCTCCTCCAGTGCAGCCACAGAGGAAGAGCTGAGAATTGGAGGAAACTCAGTTTAGGCTGCACGCACTGGTTCTCATGATCGAGACTGCAGTAGAGCCTGTTCGACAGCTTTCTGCCCCTACTTGCCAGGAGTCTGGCCCACAGAACTGTCCCATGACCAGTAGAAGAGAACGTCTCCTTTCTCTTCCTTCCCCACAACCTCTCTTGACCCAGCCTATGGCTCAGCCCAGATTTGCTTCCTGCCTCTATGTCCCCTCCTTGTGATTGGCCCTTACTGATTACCTTTACAGAAGGTAAAGAGGATGGATGCTCGCCAGGACTGCTGAAGTCCTCAGAAGACAGAGAGGACCTACGTTACCCTGCAGGATTCCCTGAGCCCTCACTAAGCACGCAGGGCTTGCTTTGGAACTGAAAAAATTGCAACAAAGCAAACCAACTGCGATTACCCATTTCTGCTCCCAACTGCCAATAGTTTCTCTCTTCATCTCTTCATTCATTTCTTTGTAACGTTCTTTTGTTTTGTTTTTGTTTTTGTTTTTGAGACAGAGTTTTGCTCTTGTTGCCCAGGCTGGAGTGCAATGGCACGATCTCGGATCACCACAACCTCCGCGCCCGGGGTTCAGGTGATTCTCCTGCCTCAGCCTTCCCGAGTAGCTCGGATTATAGGCACCCACCACCATGACAGGCTAATTTTTTTCTTTTTTTTTTGAGACAGAGTCTAGCTTTGTTGCCAGGCTGGAGTGCAGTGGTGTGATCTCAGCTCACTGCAACCTCCACCTCCTGGGTTCAAGCAATTCTCCTGCCTCAGCCTCCCGAGTAGCTGGGATTACAGGCACCCACCACCATACCCAGCTAATTTTTTTTATTTTTAGTAGAGATGGGTTTCACTGTGTTGGCCAGGCTGGTCTCAAACTCCTGACCTCGTGATCTGCCCGCCTTGACCTCCCGAAGTGCTGGGATTACAAGGTGAGCCACTGCGCCCAGCCAATATTTTTTATTTTTTAAGAGTCGGAGTCTTGCTACATTGACTAGGCTGGTCTCGAACTCCTGGACTCAAGCCATCCTCCCACTTAGGAGTGCTGGGATCACAGGCACAAGCTGCCATACCTAGCCTAGAACTATCACTTTCTTATGCCTCTCTGCTTTCTCTTTTCTTCCATTATGGGAACTTCATTCTCCATAAAGAAGTCGTTTTTATCCCTAAGTATTACTGCTAATAGAAGCAATAAGCAGAGAACAGAGCTGCAGGGAGGACAGACATTAGGTTGTCCGCTGGGGTCTATTCTGTTAGCAGCCTGCTTAAAATGCTCCAAAACACCCAACCCCCTGTCCCGTCGGAAAGGGCTCTGTGCAGTCTGACTGCAGCCTCTTCCAGCCCCACCCCT